ATGGTGTGTTAGTGTACAATAGTACACTAGCACATAAACAATTCATGTAGAACCTTGGAAATGCTACATAATACCCTACTTTATGATGACTAAAGTCATTTCTTACACACTACACAACTTATACACAGACACAGCCACAAAACAGGTACTTATGTGAAAGGGGGGGGAATTAATACGAGCGTGTATGCATAAAGGCACTTACTCATACTTAGTCATTTATACTAATCAACACTAATATAGAACATGCATACTTTTAGGCAGAAGACTGTAGTTAGGAAACAATTCAAAAAATCCTTCACACACACACTCACTCAGTCGCGCGAATGCATGCAAACAAACCTTTGGTTCTGCGGCACATTCGACATTCGTCGTCGTCGTCCATAATTTTAGCTTAAAACCGAAATTTACGCAATTGTTATAATAACCGGCAAAACTGAAGAAATATTGAAGCCATCAACCATCAACCACCCGCCAACCATCCAAACGCCCACAAAACATTACCACTCACTGATGGTTGGCCCGAAGTAATACGTGTTTTATATTGTAGCAAGCGGAAAAGCTTATTAGTGGTACATCAAAAAAATATATACGCACTTAAGAACACACGCTGCCGGTCGGCGTGTCTGTCGCTCACACACACACACACACACACAACATCATGAGACACGTCTGCATTATTGTCGAATCTCTGTAAATAAATGGATGATGAGCAACATTTTTATGATGGCATTTAAAGAAATCGTACGTGGTAAGGGGAACGGAAAAGGAAAGGAGGATTGTCATATGAAGTCGGATTAAAAATTTCTTGTCTTTGAAAAAATAGTAGGTAAACATGTAATGGAAATGGAAAATTTACATGTTACAAAAAATATTTATCAATGAATATAAAAAGGTGTCAATTAAAATCAGTAAGGAAAGTAGTAAAGTCGGAATGGGCCGACTATATGATACCCCTTAAACACTTTGGGCATATGGTACATATGTATCCTTAGAATTGCATGCCAATGTTCCCTGCAAAGGAACATACTCATGTCTTTCTGCAACCTATGATAAATTTAATTTCATTCGGGCAGATTTAGAGTAGTCTGCGTACCATGGGACAAATTTATGGAAAACGATTTAAAGCAAAGTTGATACATGCAATTCGGTACGCCGCACTGTTAAAATTTCAATTTCAATAAAAACTAAATAACATCATTCAAGTCTCAATTTTGATACGTTGTATAAAATTTTGTGTTAATCGGACACACATTATGAGTTTGGTGCTTCATTTAGGTAAGGTCGGACGAATATATATCTATATGTGGGAGTAGTAAATATATATGGGAGCTATATCTAAATCTGAGCCGATTTTCCCGAAACTCACTACTCATCATTTTATATTCAATTTAGTACGCTATGCCAAATTTCGTGGAAATCGAAGCATATATAGGGACTTTGGTGCACCATTTACGTAAAATCGGACGAAATTATATATGGGAGCCATATATAAATCTGAAGAGATTTTCACGAAACTTAGCACACATTACTCTAGACTTAATTCAGTACGCTATGCCAAATTTCGTGGAAATCGAAGCATATATAGGGACTTTGGTGCGGTATTTACATTAAATCGGACGAAAATATATATGGGAGCTATATCTAAATTTGAACCGATTTTCACGAAACTTTACACACATCATTCCAGACTTAATTTAGTGCGCTATGCCAAATTTCGTGGAAATCGAATAATATATAGGTACCTTGGTGCACCATTTACCTTAAATCGGACGCAAATATATATTGGAGCTAAATCTCAACAGATTTTTCCCAGTTTCAATAGGGTTCGTCCTTGGGCCAAATAAATAAGCTGTCCCAATTTCATCCAATTCGAATCATAAATGCGACATGTACTTTGTTTACAATTTAACATGGACAGACGGGCAGACGGACGGACATGCATAAATCGACTTAAAAACTGATCCTATACATATTCTCAAAAGGGACCATGTGTCTATCTCGATTCCTTTGCCTGTTACAAACATATGCACAAAGACATAATACCCAGTACCATAGTGTGGTGAAGGGTATAACAAATTAAGGCATATCCTCAGGTGGGGATTTCATAAAAACTATTTTCAAGGCGTGTCCTTTTTAAAGCCTATTCCTAGGCGTTGATTTTTTTAACAATTATTTTTAAAGGCATATCCTCAGGCGCGAATTTTATAACAATTATTTTTCAATGCATATCGGTAGGTGTGAATTTGAAAAAAACAAACTCTTTCGAAGATATATTCCTTGGTGTGGATCTTTAAAAAAAAAATCTTTTAAAGAGGCGTGAATTTTTTAAAAATGATCTTTTAATCTATATCCCTAGGCGTGAATTTTTTAAAATTATTTTTCAAAGCATCAGGCGTACACTTTTTTAAAATGTTATTTCAAGGCATATCCTCAGGCGTGAATTTTGAAATGTACTTTTCAAGACATATCATCAGGCGTTAATTTCTTAAAATTACTTTTCAGGGCATATCTTAAGGCGTGAATTTTTTAATTGTACTTTTCACGGCATAACCGCAGTTGCTGATTTTTTAACGTAATTTTCATGGCATAACCTCAGGCGCTGATGTTTTTTAAACATACGTTTAAAGGCATAACCTCAGGCGCTGATGTTTTTAAACATACGTTTAAAGGCATAACCTCAGACGCTGATGTTTTAAACGTACTTTTCAAGATTCTTTGAAAAATATTTTGAAGACATATTTCCACAAATTTATATTTCATGGCATATTCTCTGGTGTAGTTATTTAAAGCATATCCTCAGGCTTGGAATTTAGAGAAGAACTTTTTAATGCATATATTGAGGCGTGGATTTTTTAAAAGTACTTTTCAAAGTACATCGTCAGGCGTGAATTTTTCAAAAGTACTTTTCAAAGTATATCTTCAGGCGTGGATTTTTTAAAAGTATTTTTTCAAAAGACCTTCAGGCGTGGATTTTTTAAAAGTAAAAGTATATCTTCAGGCGTGGATTTTTTTAAAGAATCCTCACGGCCTTCAGGCGTGGATTTTTTTAAAGAATCCTCACGGCCTTCAGGCGTGGATTTTTTTAAGAATATTTTTTCAAAGTCTTCAGGCGTGAATTTTTTTAAAAGTACTTTTCAAAGTATATCTTCAGGCGTGAATTTTTTTAAAAGTACTTTTCAAAGTATATCTTCAAGCGTGGATTTTTTAAAAGTACTTTTCAAAGTATATCTTCAGGCGTGGATTTTTTTAAAAGTACTTTTCAAAGTATATCTTCAGGCGTGGATTTTTTAAAAGTACTTTTCAAAGTATATCTTCAGGCGTGGATTTTTTAAAAGTACTTTTCAAAGTATATCTTCAGGCGTGGATTTTTTAAAAGTACTTTTCAAAGTATATCTTCAGGCGTGGATTTTTTAAAAGTACTTTTCAAAGTATATCTTCAGGCGTGGATTTTTTAAAAGTACTTTTCAAAGTATATCTTCAGGCGTGGATTTTTTAAAAGTACTTTTCAAAGTATATCTTCAGGCGTGGATTTTTTAAAAGTACTTTTCAAAGTATATCTTCAGGCGTGGATTTTTTAAAAGTACTTTTCAAAGTATATCTTCAGGCGTGGATTTTTTAAAAGTACTTTTCAAAGTATATCTTCAGGCGTGGATTTTTTAAAAGTACTTTTCAAAGTATATCTTCAGGCGTGGATTTTTTAAAAGTACTTTTCAAAGTATATCTTCAGGCGTGGATTTTTTAAAAGTACTTTTCAAAGTATATCTTGACAGGCGTGGATTTTTTAAAAGTACTTTTCAAAGTATATCTTCAGGCGTGGTATTTTCTAAAAGTACTTTTCAAAGTATATCTTCAGGCGTGGATTTTTTAAAAGTACTTTTATTTTTTTAAAAGTACTTTTCAAAGTATATCTTCAGGCGTGGATTTTTTAAAAGTACTTTTATTTTTTTAAAAGTACTTTTCAAAGTATATCTTTAGGCGTGGATTAAACAAAATATTTTCCAAGGCATATTTTTGGCCATGGATGTTATTAAAAAAAATATGTTTACTTTTCTTCATTCATTATCACACCATCCTCATTATTTTTTATAGTTATTATTGTTGCCAAGCCCATATCTCATCATAAATGTGTAAGTATGTATGTGACCATGTGTGACATGATAATGACAAGACACAAATTTTTCGTTGGTTTCATTGTGTTAAAGTGTCTCTTTGTGTTCTTAAATACAATGCGTGGGTATTTTTCTGTATGTAATATCTGTATATAAAATACAACAACAACAATAAAAATGAAAGAAAACAAAAACCAGATTCATTTCATATAGAAGTTGTAGTAATATTTCATTCCTGCACTGAATATTATACAACGGCAATTCACAATGGTGTGATATTGTCGTATTATTTTATATATCATGCGTATCTCGACACACATACATACACACATATAAAGGTGTTATGTTATTTTGGGTGTTGGCCTTTGTTATTGTAAGGTTAACAATGTGAGTCAAAAACATCAGGACCAACATAATGTACTGAAGCTGGCATTAAGTAATATGCTATCTAGCACCAACAAGGAGAACAACCACAACAATACGCTTCGATGATAATAAAAAAAAGTACAAATTACGATAATCAAAAAAAAAAAAAAAATTTGTAAAGAATATTTCATTAAACTTGTTACAGGCTTAATGCCTTTTAACTTTGGTAATATGACATTGTGTGTGCGTGTGTGGGTGACTGCTTGCATGGAAGTGAATTTTTACCTCGAAGTGACAAAATGAGTTTTATTAATATGAGGAAGTTTGGTTGTGTACTTTTAAGTATGTGTGTATGGTAATGGCTTTCAATATAACCAATTTAAAGCGAGTTCAATGTTCGACACAGGTCGTAAATATGGCAGGTTAAAAATAACTCTGCATTAATATAAACATTCTCAAAATATATTTAAAATCCCTCTGGAAAAATCTATAATATTAAATCCATATTTATGCTTGCTTTTTCAGATTGTTAATGAATATACGGACTGGGATCGTGCCTCACAGCATCCGATCAACACGAGGGATACTGCCGTGGCTGCTCTCTCTGATGCCCAATTTGTTGCACCTCTCATACGAACGGCTGACATTTTCGCAGCCAATTCACCACCACCAATGTCCAGTTCGTCTGGCGGCGGAACAGCATCAGCCTCGACACAATTTCCTGGCCAATCGGGTCGTTGTTATTTCTATGTTTTCGATTATCAGACAAAAGACGGCGATTATCCACAACGAATGGGCACAGTGCATGGTGAAGATTTGCCATATATTTTTGGGGCACCCTTGGTCGATGGCTTTAGTCATTTTCCACAAAATTATACCAAATCGGAAATTGCTCTGTCAGAAGCTGTCATAACATTTTGGACAAATTTTGCTAGAACGGGGTAAGTGGAAGAGAAAAAAAGAGAAACTATGAAGAAAAGGAGGGGTACATGTCGATAATATTATAAAAGCCGTGGATTTTTGAAAAAATATTTTTCCTAGCATATCATTAGGCGTGAATTATTTAAAAAATAATTTTCAAGACATGTCCTCAGGCGTGGATTTTTAAATATTATTTTTAATCGCATATCCTCAGGCGTGGACTTTTAGATATTATTTTTAATCGCATATCCTCAGGCGTGGATTTTTTAAGCATTATTTTTAATAGCATATCCTCAGGCGTGCATTTTTTTTTAAATTACTTTTTAATCGCATATCCTGAGGCGTGGATTTTTAAATATTATTTTAAATTGCATATCCTGAGGCGTGGATTTTTAAATATTATTTTAAATCGCATATCCTGAGGCGTGGATTTTTAAATATTATTTTTAATCGCATATCCTGAGGCGTAGATTTTTAAATATTATTTTAATCGCATATCCTCAGGCGTGGATTTTTAAACATTATTTTTTATCGCATATCCTTAGGCGTGGATTTTTTAAACATTATTTTTAATCGCATATCCTGAGGCGTGGATTTTTAAATATTATTTCTAATCGCATATCCTGAGGCGTGGATTTTTATATATTATTTTTAATCGCATATCATCAGGCGTGGATTTTTAAATATCATTTTCAATCGCAAATCCTCAGGCGTGGATTTTTAAATATTATTTTTAATCGCATATCCTCAGGCGTGGATTTTTAAATATTATTTTTAATCGCATATCCTCAAGTGTGGATTTTTAAATATTATTTGTAATCGCATATCCTCAGGCCTGGATTTTTAAATATTATTTGTAATCGCATATCCTCAGGCCTGGATTTTTAAATATTATTTGTAATCGCATATCCTCAGGCGTGGATTTTTTAAAAATTACTTTTTAATAGCATATCCTCAGGCGTGGATTTTTAAATATTATTTGTAATCGCATATCCTCAGGCGTGGATTTTTAAATATTATTTGTAATCGCATATCCTCAGGCGTGGATTTTTAAATATTATTTGTAATCGCATATCCTCAGGCGTGGATTTTTAAATATTATTTGTAATCGCATATCCTCAGGCGTGGATTTTTAAATATTATTTGTAATCGCATATCCTCAGGCGTGGATTTTTAAATATTATTTGTAATCGCATATCCTCAGGCGTGGATTTTTAAATATTATTTGTAATCGCATATCCTCAGGCGTGGATTTTTAAATATTATTTGTAATCGCATATCCTCAGGCGTGGATTTTTAAATATTATTTGTAATCGCATATCCTCAGGCGTGGATTTTTAAATATTATTTGTAATCGCATATCCTCAGGCGTGGATTTTTAAATATTATTTGTAATCGCATATCCTCAGGCGTGGATTTTTAAATATTATTTGTAATCGCATATCCTCAGGCGTGGATTTTTTAAATATTACTTTTTAATAGCATATCCTCAGGCGTGGATTTTTAAATATTATTTTTAAGGGCATATCCATCAGGCGTGGATTTTTTAAACATTATTTTTTAAGGCATACCCCCTATAGGCGTGGATTTTTTAAACATTATTTTTTATCGCATATCCTTAGGCGTGGATTTTTTAAACATTATTTTTTATCACATATCCTTAGGCGTGGATTTTTTTAACCATTATTTTTTATCACATATCCTTAGGCGTGGATTTTTTTAACCATTATTTTTTATCACATATCCTTAGGCGTAGATTTTTTAAAAATTATTTTTTGGGTCCTTCGACAAGGCGTAGATTTTTTAAACATTATTTTTTATCGCATATCCTTAGGCGTGGATTTTTTAAACATTATGTTTTATCGCATATCCTTAGGCGTGGATTTTTTAAATATTATTTTTAATCGCATATCCTCAGGCGTGGATTTTTTTAAACATTATTTTTTATCACATATCTTAGGCGTGGATTTTTTAAACATTATTTTTAAGGACATAGACAAGGCGTGGATTTTTTAAACATTATTTTTTATCACAAATCCTTAGGCGTGGATTTTTTAAACATTATTTTTTATCACATATCCTTAGGCGTGGATTTTTTAAACATTATTTTTTATCACATATCCTTAGGCGTGGATTTTTTAAACATTATTTTTTATCACATATCCTTAGGCGTGGATTTTTTAAACATTATTTTTTATCACATATCCTTAGGCGTGGATTTTTTAAACATTATTTTTTATCACATATCCATTTTTAAATGTTTTTTTATTAACGCCAGTCACCTTTTGTAACAAAAAAAGTTATTTTGGCCCTAAAATATTCAGCTTGAATTTCCCTCCCTAAACTCTCTAATTTACTTTGAAAACTTTTAAAATTTCATTAACACATTAACAAAAGAAATATATGAAGACATTATCCTTTCATATTCCCATTTTTTTTTTGTGTGCATAAAAAATCCCATCTCCCCCTTAGCTACTGGCAGTTTAACTCATTTGTCCTTGTTTTTACTTTCTCTGACAAAAGAGAATAGAAAAAAAAGGAATTAGAACATGTTGTAGAGATTTGTTGCAAAACCCTTTTTTTCATTCGTATGCTTAGCAGGCCGTATATGTTAGTGGAACCTTTTTTGTGCCCATGTTCTGCTTTTATGCCCTGGAAATTACATTTTCTAAAATCGTTTTCAATCTCAGACAGCATGTAATGACCTACTTAAGTGTCGTTAGATTTAAATAGAATTATTCACCTCTTTTGCTCATTTCATTTTCATGGCTGTTTAAGCATTTCAGAAAATTATTGCCTTTGTTTTGGCATGTTCGAATGAAGCCCACCTAGAGCATAGGTTCGTTTTTTTAATTCCATTGCATGTGTGTCTGGTGTGAGTGTGTGAGTGAGGCTGATGGGACTGATGTCAGTTCACATATTTTTTTCGTTCTTCCGTTTCTTTTTTTATATCAGTATTTTGCACCATGTTCGCTGTTCTTTTTGTGAAGTGAAAACATGTGTGGCAATTTTTCCTGCTCATATCCATTTCAAGTGGAAAACATTAACAACTTTAAGTGTGCGATTTTTTCCAGCATGTTCAGGTGGGGTTTTCAAACCCGGTACACTACTATTAAATAATGAAAATAAGATATGTTGATGTGAATGAATTTGAAGAGTGGCAAAGAAATAAATCATAAAAGATAAAAATATATATATTTGAATATAGAAAATTTATAACATTGAATATGAACTTAAATCAGGTAAAGTGGTGCTTGGGCATTAAAGCCATCGATTTAAAAAATATATATTTTACAAGAGAGGATACTCAAGGATTTTTAAGATTTTCTTTAAATTAGATGCAAATTTTTAATACTCTTTCTCAGGCGTGAATATTTAAGAAATTATTTTTCATTGAATAAATTTCACACCAAATATTTCCAATGCCGTCCTCAGAAAATATTTTTCTAGGCATAATCCCCGACATTGATTTTTAATTTTTTTTTCAGAGCATAACCTCAGGCGTAGTTTTGTTTTAATTATTTTTAAAGGCATATCTGAGGTTTTAATTTTTATACCTTCAGGGTATTTTGTATTTGTGCATATGTTTGTAACAGCCAAAAGGAAACGAAGTAGACACATGGTTCCTTTTGAGAATATGCATAGAATCACTTTTTAAGTCAATTTATGCATGTCGGTCCGCCCGTCCGTCTGTCCATGTTAAATTGTAAACAAATTAAAGGTCGCATTTATGATCCGAATTGGCACAGCTCATCTATTTAGAAAAATCGGTTCAGATTTAGATATAGCTCCCATTTATATTTTCGTCCGATTTAAGGTAAATAGAGCACCAAAGTCCCTACATATCTTTCGATTCGAACTGAATTAGGTCTAGAATGGTGTGTGTTAAGTTTCCTGAAAATCGGTTCAGATTTAGATGTAGCTCCCATATATATTTTCGTCCGATTATAGGTAAATGGTGCACCAAAGTCCCTACATACCTTTCGATTTGAACGAAATTTAGTATGGCGTAGTGAATTAGGTCAAAAATTATGTGTGTAAATTTTAATAAAAATCGGTTCAGATTTAGATATAGCTCCCATATATATTTTCGTCCGATGTTAGGTAAATAGTGCATCAAAGTGTCTATATATCTTTCGATTTGCACGAAATTTGGCAGAGCATGCTAATTAACACTAGAATGATGTGTGTAAAATTTCTTGAAAATCGGATCAAATTTAGATATAGCTCCAATATATATTTTCGTCCGATTTAATGTATACGGTGTACGAAATTTCCTATATATCTTTCTATTTGCACGAAATTTGGCACGGCGTACTGAATTAGATGTAGAATGATGTGTGTTAAGTTTCCTGAAAATCGGTTCCGATTTCGATGTAGCTCCCATATATATTTTAGTCCGATTTAATGTCAATGGTGTACCAAAGTCCCTATATATCATTCGATTTGCACGAAATTTGGCATAGCGTACTGAATTGCGTCTAGAATGTTGTGAGTTACGTTTCGAGAAAATCGGTCCAGATTTAGATATAGTTCCCATATATATTTTCGTCCGATTTAATGTTTATGGTGCACCAAAGTCCCTATATATCCTACGATTTGCACGAAATTTGGCACAGCGTAATAAATTAAGTCTTGAATGATGTGTGTTAAGTTTCCTGAAAATCGGTTCAGATTTCGATATAGCTCCCATATACATTTTAGTCCGATTTAATGTCAATGGTGTACCAAAGTCCCTATATATCATTCGATTTGCACAAAATTTGGCAAATTAAGTCTTGAATGATGTGTGTTAAGTTTCCTGAAAATCGGTTCAGATTTAGATATAGCTCTCATATATATGTTCGTCCGATTTAATGTAAATGGTGCACCAAAGTCCCTATATATCTTTCGATTTGCACGAAATTTGGCATAGCGTAATGAATTAAGTCTAGAATGATTTGTGTTTTGTTTCGTGAAAATCGGTTTAGATTTATATATAGCTCCTATATATTTCTTCTTCCGATTTTATGTAAATTGTGCACTAAAAATCCAACGTTTGTCCCATTGCCACGCAATTTTGTACAATGCACGGTTGTTAATATAAGTCAATTTCTGGCAAGTCTCATTTAAGTCGGTTCAGATATTGATATGGCTTCTACATATATATTTTCGTCCGGTTTTACACAAAATTGACGCAAAATTTGCACATCGTACTGGAGTTGGTATAACCTAGATGTTGGATATAAATGCTTTACCAAAGTGGGTCCAATCGGCACAGAATTTTGCACTACGTGCTGAAGTTACTATAACAAAACGTGTGGCAAGTTTTGTTGAAATCGGTTTAGAGTTCGATATATCTTATAATTTATATGTATATATATATATATATATGCTTTAAATTGATTTTCATAATTTTATCCCTGGTACTTCAAAAATTCGACGTCTGTTAGGATTCATCTGTTTGATATACCCAAGTGGTGAAGGGTGTCATATAGTCGGCCACGTAGGACTTTACTACTTTCCTTACTGATTTAAAACTGAATTTTTATTTGTTATTATATTTCAAGAATAAATAGAATAGTGGATTTTACTAAAATTATTATTTTATAAAAATTATAATTCATAAATTTATTGAAACGTGGATGTTTTCATTAATTCTTTGAAGGGCCGATTTTTTAAATTAGTTTTTAAGAAATAATAGAAGTGTGCATTATTCAGGTCGCAAACGAAGCATTCATATGGGTCAATAATTGTTCAAGTTCTAACACTTGTATGTACTTTGATGATTTTAGGCGTTTTTTCCAATCGAAGGGACTGAGTGTTTTGCCATAAGGAAGTGGCATAGCCTCCATAAAAACCCCCTACCCTCATGGTGAATGTATAAAATGAGCGGCCCTGTGAAAGTTTAAATTTGTTTCTGGCATAGAGTGTTGATTTTTGTTACCTTTCAGTGTTTAACGAAACTTCATATTACTTAACCTGTATTCAAATATTGCATCCGCTCGTCCCCAGAAGAAAAAAAAGAAATGAGGGCAAACCGGTTGTCCTTCAGTTACAACCCTTTCCATTACTCGTATCTAATCCAAAAAAAAAAAAAAAATAACCGACAGGAAATTTAAAACATTCCACCCAACGTTAACGAAACATTTCAATTTGTTTTTTTGTGTAACATGAGATAATGTTTAGGATTACAGTACGAAAACATAATGGGCAAAAAGGGGTTAAAAAAAGGTCACATCCAAATGACAGCCAATGCGAAAATCATTCTAAAGAAACTGAAAAACAACATCAAAAAACAACACACCATAACAATTTAACGCTTAAAAAAATGTCATTCTATGATTTTTTTTCTTGCAGAAATCCAAATGAACATCATCGCCAAGAATCTGTGCTGCCAGCCTCCAAGGAACGTAGCCGTTTTCGCAGCATCACCTGGGATAACTATGATCCCTTACATCAGAAATATTTGGAAATTGGTAAGTTTCCTCAATGTGTGTATGTATGTATTTATGTATGTGTGCATAGCTTGGTAAAACAATAAAAACAATGCCGCTGTTGATGATAACACCTCTCTGCCTCTATCTGCCTCTCCGTGCAAGGACATCCGTAAAATCTTTCTTTTGAGAGGGGTTTCTGGGTTTTTTTGGCTTTCTCATAAAATGACATTCCATTCGCCATAAATGTAAGGATTGCATTGTCCTTCAAGCTAAAGTGGTAATTTGCTGATGATAATGACAATGCTGATGATGGTCTTTGGTACTATATGAGAACAGATTAGATGTTGGGCCATTAAAAATATAACTTTTCTTTTGGTATTTTGGTAGGAAAAAAATACTTTTGGTTTTCTTAAGGATCTCCAACACCACCATCATCATCATCATCAGCTTTTACACTTAGCCTGGCTCTATGGAATTTTGTTTTGGGGTTTGATAATTGCCAAAGTTTTATTTTCTCACAAGCTGTTTCTCATTTTGTTGCTGTTATTTTTGTTGCTTGTGTCCATTTTCATTATAATAACCAAAAAAAAAAGACACAAAAACAAAACAGTCATAATAAAGTACACTTCACCTTATAGTCATTCACTTTAGCTTCAGGTGATTATGACTTTGCAGCTTTTGGATATTTTTTTTTACTGTTGTTTTTGGAACAGTGGAGATAAGTGTTTGGCTGGTATTCTTAATTTTCCCTCATTTTTTTGCGGCTCTTCATAAATGTTGGCTTAGACAATTGTGGGCCAACATCAACATCGTTTTTTTGTTTTTACTGACCAACACTTAAGTGGACTTTTCCTTTAAGTGCTGAAAATTATGTGACATTTTTCTGGATGACTGGCTGGTTGGTAGTCAGGTCGGGGACGAGTCACCTTTTGTGGACAGACCATAAAATCATAAATTAATCACTTAAATCCAGTAACTGAACAAGCATTTCAGTTTGCTTTTTAATTGAGTAATGGAATTGAAAGTGGAAGAAAAAAAGTTTTATTGTTTTTGTTGTTTTATTTTTGGTTAATGTGGGAATTAGTGCCATTTCAGTAACGTTAAGCTTTAGTAATGATGCTAGGAATATTTAAATAAAAGTCAGGAATTTGTTTAAAAAAATATTCCCTGAGGTGAAGATTCAATACAATATTTTTTCTACCTTCACCATGTGGTTTGGTGTGGTTTGCAATTATATGTCGTTTTGGCTAGGGTACGACATAGTTCACAATATTTTAAGATAAAGTTTTAATATTTAGCATATGCAGTGCGATTATAGTATACCTATGATTTAAATTGGGAAAAATCGGTTCAGATTTAGATATAGCTCGCATATATATACTTAACCGATTTAATGTAAACGGTCCCTATATATCTTTCGATTTGCACGAAATTTGGTACAGCCTAACCATTTAGGTCTTGAATGATGTTTGCCAAGTTTCGTGAAAATCGGTCCATATTTAGATATAGCTCCCATATATAGTTTCGTCCGATTTCATGTAAGTGGTGCACCAAAGACCCTATATATCCTTCGATTTGCACGAAATTTGGTACAGCGTTCTGAATTAAGCCTAGAATACTGTGTGCTAAGTTTCGTAAAAATCGGTTCAGATTTAGATATAGCTCCCATATATATTTTTGTCCGATTTTATGTAAATTGTGCACCAATGTCCCTATACATCTTTCTATTTGCACGAATTTCGGCACATCGTACTGAATTAAGTCTAAAATGATGTGTGCTAAGTTTCGTAGAAATCGGTTCAGATTTAGATATAGCTCCCATATATATTTTCTTCCGATTTAAATAAATGGTGCACTAAAGTCCCTATATATCTGTCGATTTGTACGAAATTTGGCATAGCGTACTCAATTTGGTCTAGAATGATATGTGTTAAGTTTCGTAAAAATCAGTTCAGATCAGAATGACATGTTTATGGATTGATCTAAGTCGGTTTATATTTATATATAGATCATCTTATGTTAGAATACACCTGTTGAATATACCCAAAGTGGAGAAGGGTATCATATGGTCCGCCCAATCCGACTTTACTACTTTCCTTACTGGTTTTCTTACGACATTCCGTTGACGGACGGATAACAAATGCAAACAATCGCTTAACTCAATATTTTCATCAGCTATTCTTCAGCATTTTTTTTCTTTCTTCATAAAATTTCTTTTATTTCCCATCACTTATTTGTTCGTTTCTTCTAATCTTAGTCACCACAGCCAGTCGTTTATGCAAGAAGAAAACTCCCTCCACCAGCACTTTAGTCGTGACACCTTTGGCTGTGACAACGTTTACACAGCTACTACACAGTCTTAATGTTATTTTTCGTTTCGTTTTTAATAATAAAAGCGAATGAAGTTCTGCTACAGATGGCAGGTAAAACGAATTGATGAGAAACGTAAGAAGAAGAAAAACAAACTGATGGAGTGAGTCGTCGTTGATGATGGAATAAGTCTTACAAATCTCACAAATACCACATACAACCCCTTTTTTGGCACTTACCGCTGAACAAAGCGGCAACCAGCAGCAGCAGCAACAACAACAACAGAACAGAATGCTTCCGTAAATGACAATGTCATATATCCTTTTTTCTTATTTTTCCTGGCTGCTAACATTTGCTGAATAATAATTCTTCTTATCTTTTGATGACATTGTGTGTGGCGTGGTGTTGTGTGGCCAACCCCCTCCAGTCAAGTCATACACACGTTGTTCATCGACCTTCTTACAACCACCAAAGAAAATCTATATCTTTATCATGCTTACCTATAGCCCAACCAACACCCACACCCCCACCACCAACACCAAGACAACAAACTTGCGGCATTAGTAGCATCTTGTATGCTAAACGCTTAATGAGTGCGTATGTCACACGTATTATGATAGAATGCATATGTGTGTGTGTGTGTGTGTGAGTGAGTGTAATTTTGTTATATTTCATGGTTTCTGTTAACTTACCTTGTGATGAGTTAAGCCAATATCAGAAGAGTTCGACGAGGACGACGTGTTCCAAAGATAACATGCCTCACACCATACCATTATGTTTTGAGATTTTTAGAGGCGTTCCAGGCACTTAAAATGAAATTAAAAACATGAAAACCTTTAGTCATCTCCGCACGCTCTCTCACACACACACACACACATAGTGTGGATGTGGAAGAACTGGTAGGGGATTCTTATGAAAACATCGTTCTTGTTTTTTTTTGTTGTTGAATTTTTTATCACGTTATTGTAGGTAATATTCAAAACAGATTTTATTGTTGTCAACAACACAGATACGGGGGGAGGGAGGTAATGTTGGCAGTCAGGGTATGGGGAAATAATATTCAAGTTCAACAGATACGGGGGGAGGGAGGTAATGTTGAGAGTCAGGGTATTGATATTCAAGTACAAACTTAAAGGCATTTGACATTTTACAATGCGTGAACCATCCACCAATAAACGTAAGTATACCCTACACAACTATGTTGTCAGGGTGTTATAGCTTTGTGCAGCCCCAAGAGTTTGTAATGCCGCGAATTATTGGTCCTAGACCCATCTCGACTAGCTGAATCGATCTAGACATGTGTGTCCCTCCGTCCGTATGTTCATTATAATGTGTAAACACGATACAGGCCACAGTTATGGACCAATCTTCACGAAATTTTGCATGTAGGATGGGTTCTGGCCAATGAAGATCCCTATTGTTTTTGCTAAAGATCGGTTAATAATTAGTGGATGAAATGGACCAACTACTTAATTTTTGTCGGTTTTTCTGGTCGCTCCAGAGGTGGCAATTACGACCCATCGGGCCAAAAGAACAGGCATGCCTGTTTTGATAAAGATCGTTTAATATTTAGCGGGTCAAATGGACCCTGACTTTTGTGTGAGAAATGAGAAAATTTGTATTCTATAGCGTATATATTTACCCCTGAAGGACATAGATCCGAGAAGTTGATAGTATATCCTAGAGGATTGGTTGACCTTTAAATTGATACCAATTATATTGTCAGATGTGCTCAGATATGGGAGTTATGCATAATAAGGTAAATGTGACTATGTGCATAGTATTACTCCATTAGAGGACGGAAATGTCGCGCTGATAGCTTTGAAATTGTAAAGGATGTTCCGATTATGGTCAATGACGATGCCTATAATTTTCGGTGAAATTGAGATTTCATTCAGGTGGTGCAATGAACGGAAAACTTTAATTTTGTCTGATTTTCTAGTCGCTCTAGAGGCAATTATTATATGCTGAACAAAGCGGCAAGGATGAAGGGGATGTGACCAAATACATAGAGCGGCTGTTTAGATGATGATTGGTCAATATTCCGAGGGTCAAATCAACCAAAACCTAAAGTGACCAGTTTTTTTTTTATTTTATGGCATAAAAATTCACTTCAAGAAAAAAATGGATAATATGCCAGGGTTAGAAAGTGGAACTGTTGACCTATAATCGATCAATAGGGAGGGCAAATATCACAAAATATTGCCCAGTTTCAGAATATAGAACCGCCGAAAGTTAGAGTTCCGTGGTAGTTGTTTAGAGTATCATATGATCGGCC